ATCTCTTGACGAGTTGCCAAAATGGCCGATAAATACTGACATGAATCCTGAGGAACTCTAGAGTCATATCGGAAGATACTAAATTCTAGAGTCATATCTGAATGTCCTGAATTCTAAAGTCTGATCCTGATTTGAGCATCTTAACTAAGTCCTGATTCCATAATTTCTGAGCATAGACAAAGTAATATGTTTATAACTGAAAACATAAATCAGCACTTACCTGTAGTCGGCGGGGCGTGAGCATGACAGTTCAGGTTTTTCTGAAAATTACTGACTGAAAATTTTTCAGAGACGCTGAAACGTGCTCTGATACCAATTGTAACATCCCGACTTTTTTATACTATCAGAGTACGCATTTTTCGCAATTTTTCTGAATAAATAATAAAATATTTATTTTGCAAAAACTGATTCGGGATGCTACCGTGAAAACTTGATTTTTCTGAAAACCGTTAAATTTTAAACTGATTAATAAAAACGATTTTAATGTTTTAACCGACTAACGTCGGAACAAAAGCTGAAAATAAGTACTGATAGTTTTAGCGGAAATAACTGTGTGGCAAAACACATATACATAAATCACAAAATATCCTGAACAGCCCGCAAGCTCACTCCTCGTCCCCGACCCTGCGAACTGAAAAAAAACATGAAATGCGTGGGGGCGTGAGCGTGACGGTTCAGGTTTTTCTGAAAATATCTGACTGATAAAACCTTTCAGAGACGCAGAAACGTGCTCTGATACCAATTGTAACACCCCGCCTTACCGTGAAATCAGAGTGCGAAATTTTCGCAAAGTTATTTAAAAATAAAATCTTTTACTTTGCGAAAACTGATTCGGGGTGCTACCGTAAAAATGTGACTTATTTTGGAAAACCGTTATCTTAATTTTTAATAAAATAATACGATTTACTGAAAGCATAATTTTTCCAAAAGTCCGGTCAAAACATAAATTCATCAAAGTCAAAGTCAGCGGAAACGTAAAATCATCATAATATATACACAGCCAAAACATAAAAGTCCTGAAGCCTCCGTCATCTCACGCTCCCGGCCCGACATCCTGACCTGAAAAACATGATAAAAGTGGGAAGTGAGCACTATGACACTGTGCTCCGTGGAAACTCATACTAATGTAAACATTGAAAATAATAACAACATAATGATCTTGGTATATACATAACCTGAACATGAAACCGGTAATAACATGAACATGAATCTGATATCATCACGTGAACGTGAACCATGACCGTTACCTCATCTGCTGGCACA